ATATGTGGAGTTAAATGAAGGAGTTAAGATAACCCCCAAAAAGGATTTATCCTGTACCTAAAATTTTAACTCCAATTTTGGAGTTACAGCGACTCCCTGTAATTTACTGTGCAGTGCTATGTGAAATTTCTGTGGCTGTATGTTATCGATTTTTACATCTTCTTCCGAGGAAAGCTAGTATTTGACGACAGATGTATTAACCTTGAAAAATAAATCCTTGAACAGTCTTTGAAACAAAAGGCCTGATGTATTCAGGAATTACGGATTCTAAAAATACGCGAACATATTATTCTTGAGAATATTTTATTACCAAAACTATCCGCAAGATTCCCTTCGTCTACAACCTTTTGTCGTTAGAGAAGCCACGAAAGAAGAACTAAATATTTCACAACCATTGAATTTCACTCAAAAGGAATGAGCTGTAGCTTCTGAAATTAAGGATATTCTATGCAGGAAACCAAGACGTAAAAAAGAAATGATAACAACCTCATAGTAAAGGCGGCGAATAAGGTCCGGTTGGTCGCAATTAATTACAATAAACCTCCAAACGTACGGCAAAAACCTCAACAATGTAATACACAGGTTATTTTCATTTCCACTGATAAGGAAAAAAAAAAAGACAGAAACTGCATGACATAATAATAATAAAAAAAACAATACATAAATAAAGAGTACGTCATTCAAACGATCGAAGTAACATCCCTTTACTTTTAGATTCTATATATCTTTACAGGTACTTTTTAATAATCATACGATAAACTGCATATTAATGAATTTCCCCACAATAGTGACAATAATTCGATTTACGTTTATTAGATTTCTTTCTTGGCAAGGGCCTGTAGCAGGATTGCGAGCATGTATCTTTGTAGGATACAAAATCATCAACATAGTTTATTGAGTTTAATTTTAGATATTTTAAACATCAGCTGCTTAGTGATATGTAGTAAACGTACCCTGTTTTCCTGAGCCCGAATTATGACGTTGTGAAATTGCACATACGCATTACCATGCAACGCATCCCTTAATTCTAAATATCTACGGCTCTTTTAAAAAATATTGTTTTATCCAATGTTTTACTCATTACATGAAATCCGTGGTCAAAGAAACCTGCAGAACAAGCATATTAGTGGACAGAGTGAGCAGCCCGAATGGAAAAGTACTCGCTCTTTACGTTCGTTGTCAAAAAATACTCTTGCTTCGCGGTATTTTACGCCGATGACCCTTGTGTGTCTGTCGCGCTACTTGTTCTAATCTGGCTGTTGTGCGAATCTACCTGTTCTGCTGATGCTATAGCCAACTCTACAAGGTTTCTACAAAATATTCGAAGTTGTCAGCATTGTTGATAGCCCGACCTGGGGCAGCCTTGGCCAGCTCTTTACAAGCTCTTTGGCCATATACAATATCATCGGTGCTGACTATAGCATGGCTCAATTCATGCGTTAAAATTCCCATCTTGCTGTCGGCACCTACGGGTGCGGCCTCCTTGTAAAGTTGGCATAGGAAAATTTCACGAGTGTTTTTGAAAGTGTACGCATATGTTGTGGCATCACAATGAGGCCCATCAAAAGTATAGGTAATCGTCTCCTTTTCTAATACGCCTGCCATTTTTTGCAACTTTTTGACGACATTATTTAACTGATTTGCCCCAAACCAAAGCGTAACGCGCTGTTTCTTGGTCTGTGGGGCCGCAAGAAAAGATATTATGGTATTGTAGGCAGTATTATGAGCTGTTTTTGTACCGACTTGTAGGTATTTGGAGCCTCCCGTTACAACAGGCGGTACCGGTAAAATACTTTTCCGTGAGACCCCGCCACCAAATGTCCCATGAAAAATCCCATTTTGTTTAGTTTGCTTTCTACTTTCAAGAAAGCGTGCTTTTTGACCCAGGGTTCCCTTAGAGGAACTTCTTCCAACTATTTGGAAACTTACGGCAGGTGACGAAAGGTGACGAATTTTTCTCTTGACATCTGGTTTGCTGGCTGCGCTACCTACTACATATTCTAAATAAGTGTCTACAGCAATAGAATATACTCCAGCCTTGGTCAAATCGAAGGCATCGGACACTTGAAACGTCGATGAGAGAGTTTGTCCAGCTCCAACGGTCAAGAATTGATCGGGACCTGGAACACTGCGCTTCCTGTAAATACCATCGTATTCTAACTTCTTCCCGTTGCGAGTGACAGTCAGGCAATCAGTGTTCGCTCCTTCCAGTGGTGTACTCCATTTGAGAACAGAATAGTCCTGTTTGCCATTGTTCTTCAAGTGAAACCTGCACCCAATTGTGGCTTTGATGGTGTACGTTGGCGGACATTCAATTGAGGCAGCCAAAATGCTGCGTGAAATAAACAAACCATAATCAATTTAGTTATGGTGTTATGGTGCAATTACCTCGGACAGGATTGGCAAGAACAAATACTCCTGAAAAACGTACCAAACTGTTACCGGAGATGCGTTGTAACCGTTTGACATGAGATGAATAGCCCGCTTATGTTAAGAATTTGCACCGTTGTTA